GTTATTTGACCTACAGAAAGTAATACTGAAACACTTATCAACATTCAGGTATAGTTTATTCTCAACTGTCCAGGCATGTAGCAAATTCAAGTCATTTTGTAATATATCATGATCCCCGCGATGTTCAATTTTTCGAAATATTTTACAGTCATCAGCGTATAGTAAACAGTCAGAAGAAAGTTGCTGAGGAAGATCATTAATAAATAAAAGAAATAGAAGGGGGCCCAGGTTTGACCCTTGTGGTACTCCAGATTTAGCCAAAAGTATATTAGAGCTGGCTCCACGAAATGTGACAAATTGTGGTCTGTTAGCAAGATATCCTGATAGTAGGGTAACAAGCATATTACTCAAACCATAATTATATAGTTTTTTTAGAAGTATATCGTGGTTGACTTTATCGAAGGCTTTGGCGAAATCCGTGTATATAGTGTCAACCTGGCCACCCGACTCAACAATATCGCTTACTTGAATGAGAAAACAGGCTAAATTTGTTTCGATTGACTTTTTACTGCAGAAACCATGTTGTGAATCTGATATTCGGTTTTTCACATGCCAATATATTTTCTCGAAGATAATGAATTCGAACAGTTTAGCCACACAGTTGAGAATAGCAATGGGTCTATAGTTGAGGATACTTTGTTTGTCCCCTTTCTTAAAAATGGGTGTAAGTTTGGTTTTCTTCAGCAACTCGGGGAAAATTCCAGATTGTAACGAGTTTTGAAAAATAATCATGAGTGGATATGTAAGATACTCTTTGCATGCTTTGATAAGGTAACATGGTATATTATCTGGTCCTGATGATTTCTTTGGCTTGAGTTTACGAAACGCATTATCCATGTCTGTAACTGTTATATGAGAAAAAGAGAGAATATTATCATTTCCATTGTGACTATTGTTGAAGATATTATTCAAATCATATGTGGAGCTGTTTTCATAAACAGATGCAAAGTAGTCCGCGAATGCTGAAGAAATTACTTGAGAATCTTCAGTACTGACACCATTTATGACAAAGTTTGTGTTCGCTTCTTGAGATCGTTTCTTGGAATCTACGAAATTCCAGAAATATTTCGGGTTATTTATGAGATTATTTTCTACATCTTCAATATATTTTCTATGAGCTTTTTTCACATCCTTCTTTACCTCTGATCTAAGCCTATTATAATTATTGCCTGCTTCAATTGAGTAGTTTTTAAGTTTCCTACATAGTTCTTTCTGTTTGAGTTTATTTTTAATTTCGTTCGTGAACCAGGGAGGATATTGCTTTTTGTTGAGGTTATTTATTCTATACTTTGGAACACTCTGATCAAAAATGTTATAGATAACTTCGTAAAAATATTGAATCTGATCATTTACATTTTCATAATGTCCAAGTATGGTCCAATCCGTCCTCCTAAACAGCTCGTACATATAATCAAAATCGGCCAATCTGAAGTTGAATTTGTTTGTCAGCGAGTTCCTATCGGCAGTGTAATGTATCCGTTGCTTTGTTAAGTCTACCTCACAGATCAGTGGAGGATGCTTATCACTCGGAGCAACTAAAGGCATGGTTTCTACTGAGACAGAGAGATTCAAGTTGCTTAAGACCAGGTCAAGTGTTTTATTATCTACGTTGAGATGGCTATTGAATGAGTTCAAATTATAGCTGTCCAATAAGGAACACATGGTATTTACGATAAGGCTTTGATAACTTCTTCGAAAGAAGTTTACATTGTTAACTTCAGGAATGTTAAAATCGCCCAAAATAATAAAACGTGTGCTATCTTTCACATCTTTATCGATCATATCGAACAAGTCCGCGTAGTCTTTATATTTTTGGGAGTTTGAGCTTGGGGGTATATATGTACCATTGATAATTATTTCATTTCCTTGTATGATGGTTTTGACAAAAATCGTTTCAACATTTGAATCAGCTGTTACCAGTGTTGCCTTATGTTCTTTCAAAACTCCTATCAATACACCTAGTCCAGTCACCCTGTACTTCACAGTGAGGTTACCTGGAAAAAGGTCCGAAGTTAACGATCTTTTCATATGATGGATGTGGCAAGTCTGTGGTGTAGAATCCAAGTTTTCCAATTCGAGGGCCCTGTGCTAACTTCAGGGCATCCGAAAAACTAGTGAATTTTCGGACTTTTTTCAATATTTTGCTTATAACTCCTAAACAACACGTTCAAGCGGAAAACACGAGGTTACAGAACTTAAAGAGGATTAAATTTCCTACAATTATCATCTATCACTTATTTTTTTCACCGAATACGTACCGAGATATAGCGCTTCAAACTCTCACAATATCGAAAAACTGCTAGAAATTCAGGTTCTTCACTAGTATATTTCATCTTCCATCATTTTCAAATGGGTATAAAGGGTGTTAATAAATAAGTGTAACAACGAAAAACTGTAGATTTCTCATAAAAAAAGAGGAATGTTTTTTCTTTACGAAATTTTTCTCCGGGCTTCCGTTTTCAAGATACAGGGCGTAAAAAAAATGAAAAAATTCAGTTTTTTCTGTGACGGGAAGAAAGTTTGGCAATTCATCTCTGTTGGCAGGTTATAAAATGTCACTTTTCATAAATTACTTTTTTCCCGTGGAAGAAAAGTGAGTACTTTTTTCCCGGATATATATCACATATATATATATACTCTGTTAATGGCTTTTGTTGTGCTATAGTTCCGGAAAATAAGTCAATAATACCGTATCCGAGAAAGAACTGCAAGTCCTTTTATCTTCCATTCGACTTCGCGGTTTCGTATATTACTAAACAACTACTGAATTCGCAATTTTTTAAAATCAAATCACAGAATTGAGCTGACAGAAGTGACATCAGATATTTACTTCAAAAGAATGATAAAGATTTCTATAAAACGCAGGTGTCCCTACTGTTAAAAACTTGAAATTTCACGTCGATAATTTTCAGATTTCGAAATAATGTAATATCTTCCCAATATTGATTCGTCCGTCCTTCTGTCACAAAAAAAAAATAGTGTATTATACACGGGAAAAATATTAGATTTTAGCTCACGGTTTTTTGTCTCCCTCCTCTACGCGTCGGGAGACAACACAACCTGGAGCTAAAATCTACTACTTTTTTCCCTTGTATAATGAATAACTATTTTTGCTCTTATCTCAGGGACCGTTCGAGCTACGGAGCTGAGCCTTTGTACACACTTCATCATTAATAATATCTACTTCTAAGGCTCTTGATCATTTTTCTTGGACATGTCAGTGGCGTCATGATCTTGCAAATACAATACTCAGGATATTCTTTTCCTCCATGCAGTTAGCGAGTGTGACACTATATCGAACCCTTTTGGAGTGGGAAAGAAGAAAGTCCTCTCTATTTATGAGAAAAACCAGTTTCTGTCTGACATTGCTAGTGTTTTCAAAGATGAAGATGCAACACCACGCCAAATTTCGGTAGCAGGAGAAAAATTTCTCGTTGTACCATTCTTTTAGAACTTATTTACAAGTGCAGCCGTGGCTGGGCAACGAAAAGTCACCGTCTGTTTGGGGCTGAACTCTCACAAAACGAGGGTTGATACCCATAACAACGACCACAGATGCAGCTCCAGAAAAGTTGCTGCACATGATACAATGTAAGTGCATGACAGGTTGTAGCACCGGAGTTTGCAGCTGCAAAAAAGCAGGACTCCGGTGTTCAGATATCTGCAAGAATTGTGCAGGAAATGCTTGTGAGAATTCGCCTGAAACCGAACTCAACGAGGAAGATACCGACATTGAGTGCGACGAGGAGGTCGTCATGGATGAGACCATTGCTCAGGACGAAGATGCCGACCTGCCATTGGGAACAACAAAATGAAGGCTTTTTATTTGTAATCATTTTACTCAGTTAATAAATCAAAATCTCATTAAGAAAGAGGTTTCCATTGTTCAGGTTATTGAAAGTTATTTATATACGGATATTGAAACGTGAAAGATAAAAGTTACTTGAGAAAAACGTGCATTATTCGCAGTTTTTCGATATTTGGAAGAAATGTCGATACTTCAAAGCGCCATATCTCGGTACCTATCAAATTTTGAGCAACGGTTTATGGATGTAATTTGTTGAAAATTTTATGCTCTACAACTTTTGTAATAGAGTATTTTTGACTAAAGCGCATATTTCAGTAGTAATAAGCAAAATACTGAAAAGAGAGGCAAAAATTGTTAGTCTTTCGATTGCCCTGAAGTTTGCACAAGGTTCTCGAATTGGAAAACTTGGTTTTTACACCACGAAATACCCACTTACAACATATCGAAAGATCATCAACTTCGGACCTTTGTCCAGGTAAAATGTACCTGGTGACTGGACTAACCGCCGCCTCTCGCTTTCCCAGTTCTAAGTGAAGATCGGTCATTTCTAAAAACATTATATCTCTGATCAAACAATTCGGAATCATGAAAATCTTCAGTTAACCAAGTTTCCGTTATAACTACTATGTCATAATTCTCGGAAAGTATATTTTCATGAAAATTGTTAATTTTGGTCCGGAGACCGCCACAGTTTTGGTAATAAACTCTCAGCTTCATTCTGAATATCGAAGAAAAAAAACACAAAAAGAAAAAAAAAAGATAATAATTAATGAGTAATATGAGTACCTAGCTGTTTATGAAATATTATACCCCTACCTAATCTAAAAGAACGAACGACTTTCGGTTTGATATTCTCAGTTTCAATCGAATTAGGGATAAAAATGATCACCATGTATATGTATCAACCAATACCTACTTATCGTAGAAGAACAAATACTTGACCGAATACAAAAAGTGAGGGAACGTAAAAAGATATATATTCGAAGATAAGTATAAATCTCTGATAATAAATAGTACTGGCGCTTGAATCAGAAAGTAAATATAATATTGTAAAGAGATGTGTAACGTCTGCTTGGAGATGATAGTGAAATACAACTCACAATGGGAAATTTCGGATGAATATAAAGTGCATACGCTAAATTAGAGAATATATATAAATATGAAAGATACAAAAATAAAACAAATTTACCGACTATTTTGATTTCTTAGAGGTAGACGTAGATCTAAGGTATTTCTGCTTTCTTGGTTGATATTCCTCTGCCTGTTGTTGACTTTCTTGGATACGTTTCTTCGAGTCTACTTTGAAGACAGTATCATCTAACTGTTTGCTTCCAGTACGTTCGTCTAAGTCGGCTACGGCCACTGACTCTTCATTCGATGTAAGTTCATCAAGTGTATAAGTTATTCCTTCGATTACCAATGACTGTCCTTTGATGCTAGCTGTCTTTCCTTTACTTCTGACGGTCTTCTGATACGCAAGAAGAACTTTCTTTCTCTGGTAGTCCTCAGGAGTATAGTCAAGAGAGATATAAATTCCAGTATTTTTCAACTTTTTCGCCTCACTAAGAATTTTTGTTTTAAGTATATTGGATACGAATTCAACCAAAATTGGTCCTGGCTTTTTGTTCTCATTCGTTGAGTTGAATCTATAGACATCCCTGAAGTCCTCCTCTTGACAGTTAACGTTCAAATTGTCTCGGAATAGCTTAACAACTAGACTGCAAGGATTAGTTCCAGGAAGGTTATAGATTATAAGATTATATTTCTTCGCCTTGCGTTCAGTGTTCTGTAATCTTTCTTTCAGAGCTTGAGTTTCGAGCTTCAAACCTTCATTCTGCTCTTCCAGGTTTCTTATGTTATTGACAACATGCCCCTTGAAATTTTTCAGTTCATCTCTCAGATCACTTATCTGCGTGGCAAGCTGATTATTTTGAAGCTGGATTTGGGTAGTCAGGTCGTGAAACATTTTGGCAACATATTCCTTGGTAAGATCACTCATTTCTTGAATTTATCACACTGGCCCATGTACTAAGGCGTTTATCAGAGTTCCGTTGCTTTTTGTTAACAAATATAGGTACACTATGACTACACTCTTCAATCACATATATAATACTCGAGGCTTTGTATGCAATTATTGTCATGTACGTAGGTCGATGGAGATCATAAATACATTCAGGAGATGCAGAATTTCATTCCGCGTGCAATGATATAGGACAGGAAACAAAACTCACTCAGCTACTTCACTTATGGACACGTTTACAGGAGCAATTTATAATACGTGTATGTCTTGTACTTGATGTTGTCTGCCGATTCTGTGAGTGGTATACCAGGAAATGTTAAAATTTTGCAGATTTCTTTCGAACAATCATCTGGACTGATGAAAGCATGGTCACTAATCATGGTAGCTTCGATAGAAAAAATACACATTATTGTTCACGAGAAAATGAACATTTATACATTACAGCGAGACACCAACACCGTTTCGGCTTTAATAATTATGTGGGTTGCAATATTTGGTACACGAATTATTGTTCCTTCTATTTACCATGAAACACAGACTTCCGAACGTTATAGAAATTCGCTTGAGAATCATCTTGAGGAAGCTCTGGATGATTTACCGATTGCGAAAGTTCAGAACTCTGTTGGTTTCAACAGGATGGCGCTCCGGTACATAAGCTGCACTTTTTCTATATATATATATCGAACTTTGCACACGCAAATAACTTTCAGGATGAAGAAGAACTAAGGGACAGTGTCTTCGAAGCATTCAATAGAATAACCCCATAAATGCTTAGCAATGTCTTAGAAACAACTGTGAGAAGAGGATATCTTTGTTCAGAAAATAATGGTTATCATTTTGAACATTTGTTATGAATGTCTCTGTAGGTATTGTCAAAGTTAAGTTGTTAAAGTAATTCGTGTAAGAATTCATCAACAATTTTAAACGCTGCATTGATCGAATGATGTAGTGAAATATTTGTTATTCACTTTTCAGTATTGAATAACCAATCCATCAAGTTTGACACTAAATGATAAGAAATAAGTGGAACTGATGGCTTTTTTTCTTTTGGAAGTTCGAAAAAACATTGATGATGGATAGAAATAGGTCGAAACACATTCGAATCACCTTGTATAGTACATTGTTGAATTTGGAATAAAAAAACCCTTCAGAATCTGTGAAAAAGTTATCAGGACCGTATTTAAAAAACAAAAGTTGATGATGGTTCTACGAATACGAAACGTTGCATAAAAAAATCGGTATCACCACGTTAAACCCCATCAAAAGTTGCAATGAGAAAGTATTTTCAGTTTTTCTGTATCTCTGATAATAACGGAAAAAAAAATAAAATAGAAATTCCAAGAATTAACTTTTTTCGATATAACTCAAAAAATAAAAATAATTTTCAAAATTTTCGAAGGCTCTTGATATGAGCCTCCGAATGCGCAACTTTTTCCCCATTTAAGCGACTTCGTATCTCCTACCGTTTCCGAGATCCCCATGCTGTTCAACCTTATCTTGGACAGACTGTATTTACCCACTGTGACGCCACTGGATATATTA